AGGAGAAAAGTAACTCCTTGACCTCCACAGATATGTTGTGCACATCTGAACCCACCCCTACACACAAAAACTATGTAAAAAAATGTAATTTTAAAAATTAGAAAAGTAGCTGCCTGATGATTCTCATGGGTTTATGTTGGCCAAGGCCTGTGGGAGTTTCTGTGCCCTGTGCCAGCCTTCCTCACAGTGCCTTGTCAGGTCATTACTGGGCAGAGTGGGTGGTTGGTCAAAATGCCAATTGTCACAAAAAGACTGTGTGCTAGGGTTAAGTGTCTACACTGGCATATGAGGGTTCCCTGGGCTCTGCTCTGGATGTGGTGGGTAGCAGCACAAATCTGCTGATGGAGCCTGGGTCCCCCTGCCTGCCTGTTCTGCTCTAGTGTCAAAGCCCAATTTCACCCCATCACCATCGAGCTGATGACCAGGTGAGGGATGATAGCACATCACACATAATGGGTGCCATAGGCATCTCTGAAGTTAGGGCTAAAAAGACCCTACAGTGATTCCAGGAACACCACTAACAGAATGTGGCTGGGCTCACACACAGCCTTCTCCTGATCATGAGGTTGGACAGACCCTGGTACATTCTGCACTTGCCTTTGTCCAAGCAGCTGGACAGTATGGGCTGTTGGGTCTCCCAGACTCTAAAGACAGATAGAGATGGACAGAACATGTGCAAGGCAGGATACAATAACCATCCTGACATGCAAACACATTCTGTGGGTGGACTATGGTGCTGCTTCACAGGAGAGGAGACTAAGACCCCAGACCGTGGCCAGAATGAAAGTGCAGAGGAAGAATCATCAAGAGAATATAGTGTCCCCTATTTTGTGTCCACTGGGGTTGGACTGATAGTTTCTCAAGGAAAAAGAGAGTGGCCACCATGTGGGCTCTCAGGTTCCAATCCTGTTGGAGCCTTTAAAAAAACAAAGATACTAGGCGGTGGTGGTGCACGCCCTTAATCCTAGCACTCAGGAGGCAGAGCCAGGTGGATCTCTCTGAGTTCGAGTCCAGCCTGGTCTACAGAGTGATTTCCAAGACAGCCAAGACTGTTTGTTACATAGAGAAACCTTGTCTTCAAAAAACCAAAAAATAAATAAAAATAAAAATAAAAAACAAAGACTTATTTTTGTGTTAGGGTATTTTGCCAGCTTGTGTGTGCACCATGTATGTACAGTTCCCACAGAGAACAGGAGAGGGTGTTGGATCCTCTGGAACTAGAGTTTACAAGTGCTAGCCACCATGTTAGTAGATGCCAAGGGAAACAAACCTATTTCCTCTATAAGAGCAACAAGTGCTATTAACGACTAGTCATCTATCCCCTTCCCCAAGTCTTTTTTAAAAAATTACATTTGTCTGGTGTGGAAGAATGCCTTTAATTCCCGCACTGGGAGGAAGAGGTGGGTACATTTGGCTAAACCTACTGGAATTTTTTTGTCGTTGAGACAAGGTCTCACTATGTAGCCCTGGCTGTCCTGGAAAAAGCATTGGCTCACCACAATGGAATATTCATAAAGAACTTATGAAAGTAGCAAGACATCAAGATGTCAATCAATACGTGTATAACAGTCAGGAATCAAAAACACAGACAGACACACACACACAAACACACAGAACCAACACTAGAAACATAATACATACAAGTTGTGAACTTCAAAAAAATATATGTGGAAGCAGTAAATGAAAAATAAAGCTAGGTGTGTTAGTGCACACTTGTTACCCAAGCTACCCAAGCACAGAGCTAGGAAGATTGCAGACTCTGAAAAAAAAAATGAAGAAATAAAGGAAGAACAAGAGAAAGAGAGAAAAAAAAGGAAAATTAGTGAGCATAATAAGGAAATGTTTACCTTTGTTAATACTAAGTTGCAAAAAAAAAATTTCATGCTTTTTGTTTACTTTTAAGACAGGGTGTTGTGCCAGGCGGTGGTGGTACAC